TAGACTGCAAAACATTAACCATTGGATGATGAGGGACCCCCTGATAATGGGTGCTAGCCCCTCCATCCAAAGGCTATTGTTTTGCAGCCCAAGCAATCCAGACTGAAAACAGTTTTTCGATATATATATATATATATATAAGTTCTTTATGTAGGTTTACATAGGAAAATAGCAAAATTGTTAATTGTAACATGATAATGGAAAAGTAAAGGGAGAATATAAGTAGAAAAAGAAAATGCACATGTAAAGTGAACAAGAAAAAAGGCACCTTTTCAAATTCAGAGTCCAAATATATTCTGATCATATTCCATTCTAACTCTAATTGGGAGTGATAATATGATGAAGTGCTAAATCAGCAAATTCATTGATTATATCCTGATTGCCAAGTCATTAGCATACTATATGGAAGCCAATATAAATACAGAACTAATTTTACCAGAGAAAAAAAAAAAAAATTAAGCTGTGGACCTAGACCTACCATTCAAAACAGAAACCACTACTTCTTATCTCTGACTATAATTTATTGAATGACAACAGAAAATTCAGTAGGATTATTATAATTCATATTTCTGAGCAATGCAAATAACGAAAATTTATAAACAATATGAAACCAAATGTATAACTGCAAACTTGGTGGAGCCAATGACACATGGTAGAATTGAAGCTAAGCAGCTTAGGAAACATAACATGCAGAACACAGCGAATATAAGAACTCCCCATACAGGTACCATTGGCCTTGCAGATACTAGAACATAATAAAGGTTTAATAACTAAATTTATTCAACAATTTTGACAATTATTGCTTGGGTGCAAACCAAGGGGATGGTAGCCATCCTTATTGAGACAGGTAAGGGTTCAAACTTTATTGTTAAGGTCTTCAATCTCATCTAATGTGCTTCAGGATAATATAAAAATATCTACGAGGTTGGAAATAGAAGCATACCTAGAAGCTGGAGTTGAGACCAGAGCACTTGTCAATGATGCAGTTAGAGGGGATCCCTTCATCAATGATGACCAACCAGGCACTTGGCTAGGAAGACTACGGGGCACATTGCTGCATGCATTCACGTAACCTGGCCATAAATACGCTGATGTGTCCAGCAGGTTTCTAGCAATACAAGCCTCAACAATCAGATGCCGCATGTTTCCAGCTGCAAGAATATGATAACAACAAATAAACCAACTAGACAAGCATCAAGGTCAAGGCAGAACGG